CCCCCAGCCATAGGCAGCTCAAGGCCCCCCCACCCCAAACTGCCTGTTGGCCCAATTGTCGCTGTTATCTGGTTCCTGTCTAGCATTCAGGGCCATTGTTATTCCAGCACCTCTGGAGGCCCTGGAGCCTTTGAAGACAGAGTTTCACTCTCAAGGATTCTCTCTCCCAAGGATGTCAGAGGGAGGAAAGAGATGGGGGGGAGGTTCTGTCTGGCTACACACCCTCAGGCCAATCAGGGCCTGGGGGTGGGGGAGCTGCGTGAAGCTTCCTTCACCCTGCCCTGGCCCTGCGAGGAGCCCATGGCCTGAAAGCAGCTTCCCACCCTCCCCAACCCCAAGCCCCTAATTGGCCTGGGGGCAGGGGGAACATGCCAAGCCTCTTCCAGGGCATGGATGCCTAGTGGGAAGGGGGGGCAAGGGGCTTCCCCACCCACAGACCAATTGTGGTCTGGAGGTGGGGTAGCCCCTTCCCTTCCTGTTTAAGCCCCACCCCTTCCAGAGTGGTCTGGGGCTACTTCAAAAATTGTATTAAGGGCAAAAATTATTGCCTACCCCTGTGATAAAGGTTTATAAAATCATGAGTGGTGTGGGAAAAGTGAATAAGGAAAGTTATTTACTTGCTCCTTTAACAAGTGCTAGGAGTCACCAAATGAAATTAATAGGTAGCAAGTTTAAAAAACCAACTGTGGCATAGTGGGGGTGCTGTATGCTCTGTAACTCAGTGCTGCCTCCCCCCCCCCAGGCGTGCTGTGATGCAAGATTCTCACTCTCTCAAATGTGTATTAACCCAGACACCCAGGCTCAGCCTCCCAGGGAGCGAGACAAAGGGAGGAAGGCGGAAACCAGCACCCAGCTTGGGGGCAGGGCCTGGGAGGGAGGCTGTTGCGGTCAGGAAAAGCAGGACAGATTAGAGAGGGAGCTAGATTTGGAGGGGCCCGGTCTCCCCCCATCTCACGGGGGGCAGAGGTCAAGGCCTCCTAGCCCTGGTTACTGTGACCAGATTACATCTGTGCTGTGTCCTGGAGAAGCAATAAACTCCCTCAATTCTACTAGCTGGCAGAGTCTGTTCGTGCCACCACGGGGGTGCAGACGTCAGGGAGACCCCAACATCAAAATAATTTTTTCTTCATAACCTATGGGACTGTTATGCAGACTTGGACTTTAACAGTGTTCAAAAAAAGAACTAGATAAATTCATGGAGGTTAGTTCCATCAATGGCAATTGGCCAGGATGATTAGAAGTGGTGTCTCTACTTCATTTGTCAGAGGCTGGACAAGTGAGGGCTCATGTGAGGATCACCTGTTCTGTTTACTCCCTCTGGGGCATCTGGCATTAGCCACTATCTGCAGACAGGATACTGACCTAGTTGGACCTTTGATTTGACCCAGTATGGCTGTTCTTATGTTTACATTTCATTTTAGGTTTCCCCATTCCATAGAGTAGCACTCAGAGGAGGAAAAAGCCCTCCAGAGGCTAAGTTTTTCATCTCACTTAACCAGTGGAAAAAATGGACACGGCTGCTTCCAAAATTTCAAGTTTGTATTAAGGAGAAACTAAATACTAAGTGCAACAAGTACACCCATGCCATAAATCACTATAAAAGGGAGGAACACTACGTGGAGATAGACCCACAATGCAAAAAATTGCAGTAAAAAAAATTCATTATTTGTCCTCTCCAACCTCTAATAAAGAGCTCCAAACTCTGCTAGAGCCACTAGCTCTTCCTTGCATAATTGCAAGTGAAGTCTTCAAAGCTTGACCTTGGGACGTGAGTGAAGGCATAGAGCACAAACCACCAATTTTCAACCGATAAAGAAAGATTAAATACATAGTTCCTCTAAACAGGAAAAATCCCATGGCAGCAAGATGATTGAAGGCAGATATTGTCCCTTGCAAAACATGCTCTGCAGAAAAGCATCACATATAACAAGAGGATTGAGTCAAGCCATGGATAGACTCCAGCTCCAGATGCTGGACAGAAGTGGAAACAGACAATAAAAAGGAAGATTTGGCAGCTTGTAACCTTTATTTTTAGTTTTTTAAAATTATTTAAAAAGCATAATTAGAAACTGTCAATACAGAAATAATCCTAGCAAACCAGTTAGACATTCCATTGCTTAACATTAGGAAACTTCACATCAGCACCACTAGAGATGCAGTCCCCACTCCCCACTCTTAGTTTAATACTCAGTGGCGGCAGCAGATAAGACAGCTGCTCCTCTACAGCCAGTAGAGTCAGCATTTTCATTCAAAAAATCCCACTTCATGCCAGGAAGTTGGACTGCTGGACTGGCAAAGTTCACACCTGTGCCACTAAATCCTGGACACAGTGACTAAGCTTCCCACATCAAAACACTTCAGATCAGGTGCACTGGTTACTCACTTTATTGCATCAGTTCCAACAAATTCATATTTTTCATATGCTTTTGTGTATCCCCTTCACCTAGCCTAGATCTGCAAACTCAGAAGCCCCATCAGCTTAATTCAGATCGAGACCACAGAGCAACAACATGTGGCACATGCCAGCTCCATTTCAAGAAGAAGGTTGACAGAAATCCTTCCTGGTACATGTGCTATATTCCACTCTGGAAGCATATAGGGTAGATGCCTGGTAAAATTTCTGCTGTCACTTCCAAAAGCAACCAATGCACATCTTGTCATTCATGCAGCGTTCTCTAGCAGTATCACTCCACTTGCCCCCAGGTCATTTTTTACTCATGGGATAGCAATGAAAGATGTGCACATATGTGCAGAAGAGAGATGGGGAATGGAAAAAGGCAGCTGCTGAACACTCCCAAGACTTGCACTGGTTAAAAACCTGTCACACATTCATGGTTTGCATTAAAAAAAAAATCACTTTTCAAGTCAGACTGATCTGTGATGTGATTGTATGATCAGGGCTTTTAACACAAACCATATGAAGCTAAAAAGACAGGCAAAAATAAATAAGTCTGATTTGAATTTAGCCTTTCTTGGGAGTCGATGGGATGATTCCAAGCTCATGAATGTTGGTGGGACATACTCTACCAAACCTATAACCAGTGATTCCTGAGGATCACATGCTGACACCCAAGTGTCATCCTAAAGATCAAGAATGGGCCAGTAGCCACAGCCCCCAACCCTTTCCAGTCGGTATTTTCAGATCTCTTTTTTCCTAGAGAATCAGCACGTTTTACTCAGCAGCCCAAACACATCATGCTTGGACAGTCTGAGCATATCTACATCAGGGACCGATTAACTGAGCCCTTATTTTCCCCACAAGTGAAGGTCAGGGGAATGCTGTTTATTCAGCCTAGTGAGACCAGATTATGTTACCTAAAATAACCCGACCCACAACCATCACCACATAATGTGAACAATAACTTTCCATTTCTTTATGTTAGAGACAGCTGTCCTCCACTGTGACAGGAGACTCCTGGGAATGATGCTGACGCAACTTTTGGAGCCAGACACTAACCAAAAGGGCTGGATTCACAAACACGTTTCATCTCTCTGGAAAGCACTGCTTTGCTACCACTTACATATGAGTTCTGATCTGCTTGATGACAGGAGATATGAGGAGCTTTTTTTTTGGCAGATTCACACTGTCTTGTTGCTCTCAAGAAGAATCTGGACCCTTGCCTGGAACAACCAGCAAACCCAGAAGGAGATGCCACAGGAGTTTGATTTCTTTTTTTTTTTTTTTTTTTTAAGTTTTAATCCAAATAAATCCCATTTTTTGCAGGTTTGGTTTTAAATATCCCAGTACAAACTAAAGAGCACAGGTATAGCCGGGCTGCACCACAAAGCAATGGTGAAACCCAAGGCCCTAGCGCAGGGGTGGGTGAAGTGAAACCCCAGGCTCCAGCAGCAACCCTGGGACCTAGAAAAATTAAGTCAAAGCCCCAGTAACAGCCAGGAACTCAAAGTGAAGCCAAAGGCCCCAGGGGCACCAGTTGCCAGCCTGGAGCCCAAACAAAATGAAGCCCAAGGTCCCAGCTGCAATTGCTGCCAGCCTGGAGCCTACTAGAGTTAAGAACTTCGTATTCTATCTTTAAAAAGATAACTCTGCAGTTCATGATTGGTGGATATTAAGAAGGCATAACCCAAAGTGACAAGAGGGAGGAGTGGCTGGTTAAAGCAATATACATTATGTACAAACTCTTGGGTTAATCAGTCCACTTGGTAGGCAACGTCCTTTTTAGTCTACAAGGCGCACTGGAGTGAGCAGGGGAGGTGTGAGGGGGCAAGAGTCCATCCAATACTTTCTTGGCACTAATATGGTCAGGTGCCCGAGCCTCTTGATAGAAAACATGGAGAAAATCTTTAAATAACGGCACAAAATTGAGAAAGTCCTCCCAAAGCCTGCCCCAGTGAAGTAGCCCAAGTCTAGAAGAGGCTGATCTGTAAGAGCAGAGTCTCTGCATTAGGTAAAGGGTATTAGCAGCACCGCTTCTTCCGTTTACTGTTCTTAGTTAGCTTCACCAAGTCATTCTGTTGCTGCTGTTGCTGCTTTGCTAAGTTTTCTTTCTTTGCTCGCAGAACCAGCTCTGTAATGCAATTAAACATCTGCAAGAGAAACACAAGCAAGTTCAGACCACCTGTGTGCGCAAGATAGCTGCTGAGGAGGTGTCCTTCAGAGAAGATGAAACATCAAAGGCAAACCCCATGATGCTATTAAGCCAACAAGACAGATGTCAGCATATTCTCTCTCAGCCCCACCAAAGGCCAGCATTTGGGGTTTAGCATCTTCCAGGCTCGCTTTTACCTCCCCCAGTGAGCAGAAGTCTAGCCTAGCAGTGCTAAATAGCAAGTGGGGGTTTGTCCACAGCCCCACCAAAGCCAATGACACTGGGTCAAGCATTCCCCTCCAATGAGGCTGGCACTATAGTGAGACATAGGCCAATGCATTTTCTTTCATTTCACCATCCAGCTTTAACCTTTATTGCACTTAAGGAGTCGTCATATATGTAGCACCTTTCCTCCCGGCCTCACCTTTCTCCTTCTCACTGCAATGGCTTGTCTGCAGTTTGTACATACTGAGGGATTTTACTCTTCCTTCCCCAGCAGAATAAGTGTCAATAGCAATGAAAACCCCCTCCCTACTTTTGTTGGTATGTGGCCTCCTAACAGTAAAATGTACATTGCCCTTCAACAGATGCAAGATTTTGTCATTCTTATCACATTACTTCTGAAAAGTGGCCATAGGCCCATGTCTCTCAGGGTATTACCTCTTCCACATTAATGTTTTCTTTGGCGCTGGTTTCAAACAGTTGGATCCCCATCTGCCCAGCAAATTTATAGGCATCTTCTGTCTCCACAACCTTCCGCTCTGGGTCATCATTCTTATTTCCCACTAAAAAGGAAAAAAAGCCAGTGATAAAAATACACTACCCAGGCTGTCACAACAAAAGTTCCCGAGAACAAGCAGCAGCAGAGCACATGCTTACCCAGTATCCGGCAGACATCATCACAATTCTGGTTAATTTCATGTAACCACCGCTTTACATTCACAAAGGATTCTGCACTGGTGACATCATAGACAACAATGACCCCATGCGTCCCTCTGTAATACCTGGTGGGTGGGAAAGGGACACAGATGCTAGTTCAAACTTCAGGCAGGTTGGTCTTATCCTTAACAGCTTCCTTTGGAAAGCATTTCTAGATGACGGAGATATAAATCCCCAACTCTGAACAAACAAGTCCCCATCCCTCTCACCTCATTAGGAGTCATTTAATGTGCAACTGTCAGCCCATGCTTAGGCCCTAAACATGCACAGTTCTCTGCTAATTTGGTGCATATTAACAAAAAGTTTTAGATCCCAGCCTATAATGATAAACCCGCTCCTATAGTTCCTGTTCAGGATGCCTGGGACCCAAACAAGGATAAGTATTATCTTCCAGATGGTATGAGTCCATCCTCCATTGCCTTCCTATTTCATGTGATTCTTAGCTCCTGCACAAATTAAAAACTGATCACTGGTTACAGTTAGGAAATGAATTTTGAAAGTTTCCCTCCATTCCTCCTACATCATTAGGTGCTTCCAGTTCCTCTCTAGCACCATCACCCACGTTTCCAGCCATAGGCCTTCCAGTAAAGATCGTTAAATCATGCCAAACTATGCAGTGGTTTTGCAGTGTGAAAAATGCTCATTAGGGACTAACATGTGAGCAAGCCTAACTTGTGATCAGCTCTCCAGATATAACTAGTCAAGGTCTGTTTTGCTATTTAGCCCCCATTTACTCCTTTTGCTTTAACATCCCATTCTACACTGAAAAGCAACTGTGGTCTGATGACACCTTCCTACTCAACAGATCTGCTCCATATGTGCATTCAGAGTCATATTTGCTACCTGGAGTGATTAAAAATAAGTGAAAGGCAATGCAGTCAAAGCTGCAGAACCAACACTCCTAAGAGAAGTAGATGGATTCAATTTCTTTTTGTGCACTGACACATTTACCTGTCTCTCCCCTCCTCCTCTTAGGTCTGACCGGGATTAGGTTTGCAAATGCAGCCAAACAGGTATTTCTCTTAGCAAAAGATTAGTCTCTGGAAATCTTGAAATATATTTCTAACAATATTTCCACAAGAGCTCTTCCTCCCTCTGCTTTTTAGAGATGACAGCAGCAACCACAACTTTGAATCTAGTTCTCCTTTGCTGAATTAATTCTTTTCCTAAGCAGAAAATACACTACTAGACTATTTGTTGTTTTTTAAGTTTTTCCTGTTACAGACTAACCCGGCTACCCCTCAAACCAATCCATCTGTGCACTGTATCTTCGAACAAAAAACAACTGGGCTACACTTCAGATTAGTTCTGAATTCTATTTCTATCTCTGCCATTCACTTGCAATAGCAGCTTGAGCAAATCACTTAATATCTCCCTCTCTTCATCTGAGATATTAGAATGAATGATACACCCCTTTTGTAACACACAGTGCTTCTCATCCCCTGACTGCAAAGTACTGCTATCATTACTTTTTTTTTTTTAATACTCAGGATACCATCTACATGTTTTGTTAGTCTATAACTGAAAAAAAATAAAAAACAACAACTAGTCTAGCAATACCTGAAAGACTCTCTCAGCCTACCCCTCTGAAGCATTACTTTTCAGATGCTTCACTAATTGCTCTGTCTTAGCCTCCATTTCACATCAACAACTGATGGTGGCAACAACTAGGTGCTGTGCAACTTTCTAAGCATACAGCAGTAGCAAAGACCATCATCCCAACCTGTTTGCCTGTGTGTTCTCATCTCCTCTCTTACAATCTCCAAAAAGAAACTCAGGAATTTTATAATTCTCTTGAAATGCTCTCAGACATATGCCATGTTCCAACTCCCTTGGTATGAAATATCTCAGACCTAGAATATTCAGTCCCAGACTTTATAGATTGTGCTGTATTTTTAAATGCTTTAATAAGTTCTCTCAACCAATCCTTTCATGATTTTGAAGCTTGTTAGGCCAATTCAAATTCACCTAATCCTCAAACAAAAATATGAAATGTCCTTTATAACTTAGATTCTTTAGACTGCATAACATCTTGATTCTCAAAGGCTATAGTCCACATTAAAAAAAAATGTGAGAACATATAAAATGTATATAAAAATATAAGTGTTGCTCCAGATGGGGGCCTAACTTATACAGACACAGTATCTCCTGTTTTCTGCTCACTTATCTTGCTAGCAACCCTAATACAGCACCTCATTTGGTTTTGTTACTGTTGAGCAATGGACAGATGGCTTACATCTAAATCCTCTTGATCCTGAGCTGAAACATACTTTTGTATAAAACATTTTTCAGGTGGCCCATTTCTTCCCCCACAATGTTACATTTGTATATACTAAACTGCAATTTTCTTCATTGTCTGAGATCTTACTCGACATTTTGTTAACCTAAGACTAGCTTTATTTCCCAATACTAATCCCTTTTTAAATCTAATCACCCAGTTTATCACTGCCCATTAATCTTATCTAAGACGGTGTTTTACACAGCACAGGTCCTCCTGCCCCTCTGAGTCCAGCACCAAACTAGCACTATATGATCTCATTTTTACATTAGGCTGTGGCTATCCTTTCAATTTTCCACATGCTTCACTGCACACACAACTTTACAGAAATTTTCTGTAGGAAGTTGTAGACTTTGGCAGCTGGGTGTGGAACTAATGGAATTTTTTGCACTTGGGAAGAAGAGTGTCAATTTTCTCTATATATTAAAAAAAGGTTTTCCTGGAGGACAACAGAGTGACATCAACATGTCACTGTGTCCCACCTGCCTACCCCCTCTCAAGCCCGACCTTGCTGCTTCCCCTCACCACTTGGAATTGTTGTTTTAAACCAAGCCCCTATTTCTCTTCCCCCACAGGGCTTTCACTGCCAAGAAACATGGCACAGTAGCCAGCAGACCCCACATCACAGCCGTGACAGTCCAGTGGCGGGGAGGGGAGCCTGTGGTGCTCGGAACATCAGCCCAGGGACAGGTCCTAGGATTGGGGCTCCCAGCTGGGCTTATGTGCTTTGGGGCTGGCCCGCCACCAGGCTCTTGGACAGCCAGAGCGTGGTGCTTGACTGCCTGGAATCAGCTGCCTCCGGGGAGATTCACCCCTTCCCCAGCAACTGCACCTACTGCGGCTGCCAGAGCATCCCCAAGCCACCTAGGGAAGCTGCCACACTGACCTGTCTGCTCCTTCCCTTCTGCTCCTGGGTGGCCCTGGGCTCTGTGGGCAGGACTGGGGTGGTGAGCAGCACAGACTGAACCACATAGGAGAGAGGTTGGGACAGCACCTCCCTTGCTGCTGCTTTCCCCACCTCAGCAGGGTGCAGTGCCCCAGAGCTCTGTGTGCACCTGTGCTCCATGTGGGATGAGCAGGCATCCCCTGCACTTCCCCAGCTGCCTGGGGGATAGCTGGGCCTGGCGTCCACCATAGCTGGGAGGGGAGGCTAGGGGGGAGAAGAGAAAGAGCCCGAGCTGGTGCGGGAGGGAAGGGAAGGGAGGAGGACAAAGAAGGGGGTGCCTGGGCTGGCAAGGCAGAGGAGGGAGAAGGGACCTGAGCTAGCAGGGGGGAGGGAGAGAAAGAGAAGGGACCTGGACCTGGCATTGCCGCAGCCCAATCCTCCCTAGGAGGTTTGGGGGTGGGGGGAGCAGAACCAGGGTTGTTTACCCCTGTGAGAGGAGAGTTGGCAAGTGCAGCAAGCAGAGAGCACAACCCCCATAGTGTGTTTTTAACAATCAAGAGTCAGATGATGCTTTTGATACATCTCCTTTTCCTTCCTTATTTTGAGTAGGATGGAGACAGTTTTAAATTTCAGGGATGGACGAATGAAATCCTCATTCCACATCCCTGCAAATATTGACAACTTGTTACCTCTACAACTCACTATTTGCCACTACATCCAAAAATGAAGCAGCACAATAATTTGTTATTTTTTCCTAAAAGAATAGTCAGAAGATAGCTGTTGGTGTTTTTCAGATTTAATGTCCTATTGAGATGAATGTGGCTACTCACATCTAGTTATTATTTCAAAATATCTGCAGACAAAGATTACTGGATAAATTTGCCCTCTGAAAGTTACTTTTCAGCCACAAAACTATAGACTTTAAATGTAAAAAAGCTTAAATTCTGGAGTACTATCATGAGATTCAAATAAACCTATGAGAACTCTGCATTTTACACAGCTGCAGAATGTTTATAATGCATTTATCCTGATCTTTTCTATGAAACCTTGAAAAAAGTTCAGCTATAAATACATTATTATTGAATCATTACACAACAGTGCAGGAAATCTTCACAAAACTCCAGTACTGGTTAATTAAACAATATCTTTAAATGAACCCACTACACCTCTTCTAAGGCTACTCCTATAACAAAAGAAAACATTTTAGAATGAGAATGTGGGATTCCCTGATACAGGATACTACTGAGTCAAAAAGCTTAATGCGTTTTCTTAGAATAAGATTAGGCATTTATCAATAGCAACTGTAATTACAGTAGTCTGTTTTCTATTACATGCACAAACAGCCCTCATGCTTCAGATATAAACTGATTACCATCTGAGATTGGGAAAAAAAAGTCTCCCTTTATTTGCTAGGTCTTTATTATACAGTTAGATACAGTCTGGAGATTAACACCTGCAGCATCCAAAATTTGCAACTGTCAAAAGACAAACACCTAATTACCTGGGCTTTTGGTCTAGTCCAATACAGCAGCTCTAAAGACTTTATTGTTGGGTCACTAGTAGGGATGTTAGAATGTAAATGACTAACCGTTTAAATCAATAAGTGGATGCTAATCTGTTAATGGTGTCAGTTACACTCAGCCTCCCCATGAGCAGTCAGCTTTACTGTGGCAAGGAAGCCTCCTCCTTGGGAACAGAGCTGAGGACTTGTTCCTGGGGAGGCTTCACTGCAGGCTCTGCAGTACAAAGCTTATTAAAGCTTTACCTATTAGGTATTTAATTGACTTTTAACATCCCAAGTCACTAGTTTACATGTTTGCATTTTCCAGTACTTTGGAATTTCACCTGGCTGTAGTGAATTCAACATTTGTTAAAGTTCACAATATCTTTGCTTATTTCTT